CCTAAAACTTCAAAAGACACAATTCGGAACATCTCCCCTCATTAGCTCTTTCAACTCAGTTTCTTTCTACTTATTCATGATTTATGTACTCATGTTGGCAGGGGTCCAGGCACACCTGCTTGTGTATAATGATTTCTTTCCCAGCAAACAGTCTTTTGTCTTAAGCTAACAGAACTTAGAATTGTTGAAGCTTTTGCTTTTTACAAACATTTTATACATTTAAAAGTGTTACAAACAAAGCATTTAGATCAAGAGAAGAGATTTCTCTCTGTTACAATATATACTATCGTTATTTTACTCCAATTAGGCTCTTCCCTTTGAAGTAAAAGAGGGAACAATTGGGAGTGATTGCAAGCCTTCCCAGTTAGCATTACTAGAAAGCAAAGCTTTCTGTTATTCCAGTTAAAAATGAAAACACTGTCTTTTCTTCTTTATGATTCAACATCTCCAGCTTAAGGAGTAACATAGCCTGAGTTTCCCATATTTACTAAAACTCAGAGACCACTGCATCTTAACTATAAGCTTTCATTGTCAGCTGTAGACATTCAGACTTGCTATATGGTAGGAAAACGTAATATAGAGAATATAACTGCACTTCACTTAACCCTACTCTTTGGCTTCGCCTGTGCCCGGCCAGGTCAGCTTGACCTGGGAAATTGGCAGAGTAAGCAGAACACCTGCAGTTCAAAGAACACATTCCTTTGAAGTAGCAGGATTTTCATAATAAATCTTCAGACACTTGACAGGTCCTAAAAGTTGGCTGAATTAATGGGCAAAACACCTGCACTAATTTCTCAATTAAAGGGTTACATCACAAACACTCCTTTTCGCTTCGAAACAAGGGCTAGAAAAACACGTCAACCAAAATGATTTACATCACTTGGCACTATACAGTAGTGTCTAGTGTTCTAAAACAGGTTACCAACTCTTCCAGGAGATGCCCAAAGAATTTCTTCCCAAAGGCTCCTGTAAAACAGCAATAATCAATTAAAAAAATCATTTGAATGCTTGGCACTTCCTACATATTGATGTATCTGCTTCATTTATACCCCACCTATATTCCCAGTGGAGACCCACAGTGAACATCAGAACATCAGAACATCAGAGACGCCAATGTTGGATCAGGCCAAAGGCCCATCCAGTCCAACACTCTGTGTCACACAGTGGCCAGAAATACCAGTGCCATCAGGAGGTCCAGCAGTGGGGCCAGGACATTAGAAGCCCTCCCACTGTTGACCCCCCCCAAGCACCAAGAAGACAGAGCATCACTTGCCCCAGAGCCCCTAGCTATACCTTGTGGCTAATAGCCACTGATGGACCTCTGCTCCATATGCTTATCTAATTCCCTTTTGAAGCCGTCCATGCTTGTAGCTCCCACCACTTCCTGTGGCAGTGAATTCCATGTGTTAATCACTCTTTGGGTGAAGAAGTACTTCCTTTTATCCGTTCTAACCCGACCGCTCTGCAGTTTCATGGAGTGCCCACGAGTTCTTGTATTGTGAGAAAGGGAGAAAAGTACCTCTTTCTCTACCTGCTCTTTCCCATGCATAATCTTATAAACCTCGATCATGGATTACATTGTTCTCATTGTCTCTATTTTATGCTCAAAACAGCCCCGCGAGGCCGGTTGGCTAATAACATGTGACTGGCCCAAGGTCATGCAGTGGGCTTCCATGGCATAGTGGGGGTTTGAATCTGGATCTCTGAGATTCTACTATGACACTCTAACCATTATAGCACACTGTGCTCACTTGATGGGTAGTGGAAAGTACCATGGTGGTTGGGAAGGGGGGAGTCTCACCCTAATGGTTTGCTGTGTAGTAAGTCAGAATGGTTCTGTAGAAAGTGTGTTTGGGCATGTGAAATGTTTTTTTGTGTGTGTATTTTTTGTATTTTGTGTGTGTGTGTGTGTGCATGCACCTGGAAGTCATGGCGACCTCTGGTGACTGACCCCTACTAGGGTCCGGAAGGATATTCAGAGAGGTGGCTGAATAAAGCCTGCCCCCACCTCCTGACTGCTGGTATTCCAAAGGAGGTCTCCCATACAAGTACTTGCCAGAGACGATCCTGCTTAGCTTCCGAGATCTGACGAGATCGAGCTTGCCTGGGCTATCCAGGGCAGGGCAGGGCCTGAGGAATCTTGGGGTCCCCCCCACACACATGTACTATTGTCTTGAACAATGCCACCCTCATCCTTTATGGTCAGGGGCCTACATACCTGAGGGACTGCCTTTCCCCACATGTTCCCCAGGGAGCACTGAGATCAGCGTCCCAAAGTCAGCTGGCCCTCCTGGGTTTCAAGGAGGCCAGGCTGGCTATAACCAGGGCCAGGGCTTTCTCAGTGGCGGTGGACCAGAATGGTGGAACGAGCTCCCAGAAGAGATAAGGCCCCTGTGGGACCTTATGCAGTTCCACAGGACCTGTAAAATGGAGCTCTTCCACCAGGCTTTTAATCAAGGAGCCGCCCCCAACCGTTGAAGGATAGAGAGCCCTGCCCCCCTGGAATTTCCAACAACAGCCTGTGCCAGCTGCCTAAAGGAAGATCTATGAGCCGACTGTGAGAACAGATTATCGAACATGGCCGCCATAGTTAGATAACAATAATGAGTACTAGCACTTTATAATGTAAGATGGTTTTAGGGCTGTTTTTAACTGTCATTTATGTGTCTTTTTGTGTAAGCTACCCTGAGCCGGCCTCGGCTGAGAAGGTGGGGTATAAATTTGATAGATAAATAAATAAATAAATAGATCATGTGTGTAAAATTGAGATAGTGTTTGTTAACTCTATCTCACAGTCTGGGGGACGACGACCAAGTTTGAACATTGTAAAGCATTATACAGAATCTTACATGATTAATAACCCGTTGCATTGCTAACATTTTACATCAGAGGTTCAGTGCCTGCCAACCAGTAATAAAGATCCAGTGAACACTAGAAAACCTCCGTAACAAATCTGCCAGGAATAACATAGCAGTGATGTCTTTATGATCTGGAGAAAATATGATGTGAACTTTCCATATTATTCTTGCCATTTAGCACCAAAGAAGTCGAGTTGACATTTGAAATCACTGGGTTTTCTTTTTATTATTTCAGTTGTAAATCAAAATGTGATGTGAGTTCAGGGTTATGCTTTTGGAGATGTCTAATCCACACAAAACATCAGATTGTCATTTTGCTTCCTTAAGGGAGAAAGGATAATTATATGCTCCACTTGCAAATGATTCCATAAACTTTCACAAACCAGCGTCTTGAAAGGCTGGTGGGTCAACCATGGGAAGATCAAATGGTACTGCTGGTGACAGATAATTGCAGAATGTATTTCAATATGTAATGAATGTATAGGAGAAAAACCCTGCAGCATTGGAATAAAAGTCCACCAGATTTGGCATTCTGCTTCTGGTAAAGCGGTGACAAAGAAATCAGACTCTTATCTGTAATTTATCTGAGTAAGAGCCTGCATTTCAACATACCTGTTAACCTGTGGAAGTTTGTTTGTGTGTTGACTGAACTTATGAAATGTGGTGAGAAAACGGCACCTGTCTAAAAAGTGTGTTGCAGCTTAAGGAGTTTGACCTTCTGTCTTGTCAAGTTAAGCTTTCCTTATTTTTGTAATTGTTAAGTATGACACTTAACTTGGAGGAACAGTTCAACAAGTGATTCAGTTTTATTTCAGCTCAGTAATAGTGGAAACAGCATAACAAGTTAGACCTGCTAGGACTAGACCAGCCAGACAAATCAATAGGCAAAACGGCAACTTATATACAATTCTGGCTGGGATAGCCACACCCACAATGTTTACAGTATCCAATCACACTAAGTACATTACACCCAATCATAATCAAGGGATAACGTCCAATCAAAACCATTCCCTCCAGAAGGCACACCATTGGTCAGTATTTACACTTTTACAATCCGCATAATGAGCGATGCTAGATATGCTTTTACCTTATATGTCTCATAAGACATAACAGTAATGTTCATTCGTTGCCAATATTTTTGAGACGGTTATTTTATCTGGGAAACGTCTGGCAGTAACAGAGAGGCAAAAATGGTACGTTTTTGAATATAGCAGTCTCAGTTCAGATGGAGACACGGCAGCCTATGGGCTTTCGACTGTGTGCAGGGATGCCCGGTGCCGAATACATGGTCACTGACTACCATTTTAACAGTTCCGATGATAAAATGAGTAAGAAGGAGTGCAAAACTGGAAATTCTCCCCACACTACCTGCAAAAAAAATTGATTCTAATTATTTTATGATGACTTAATCACCAGATTAGCCATGAAATCTTATGCACAGTTAGGGTTTCTTGATTTCAGTCCATTAACTTGTTTGTGGATTAATCAGTACTGGCTAATTTTAATCGTTGAATGTGTATCTTCATCTGTGCAGCTGAGAGCTAATGACACATCTTTTTGTTGGGTTAAGGGGGCTATTTTGGTGCTGGAGTGAGTAATGAACAAACGTGATGCATCTGAACTATGACTAGTTCATTAACTTGGAAGTTATTTCATGCTTCCTGTAGGGTTAAATCCCACTGAAAAATGCAACTTCCTCCATTCCCAACTCCCATTGCAGCCTGAAATGTCCCTTGAAATGCTGCTACTGAGTACCGGGAGAGCCTAAAAGTTCATGAAAGGGGAGTTGGACGGCTGCTGTGATAAGGGGGGAATAGGCAAAAAAAATCCAACTCCCCCCAGCATGCCTGGATTGTTTTGATTGTATCTGAGCCTTAATATCTTTAAAAAAAAGAAAGAAAAAGATGCTTATGTTTAAGGTTTAGTAATAAATAAACTCAATTTCATGTAATCGATAAGAAGAAGAAGAAGAATTTATTTATTTATTTATTTATTTATTTATTTATTTATTCAATTTGCTATCCCGCCCTAACCCCTAAGGGCCTCTGGGCGGCTTACAGAGAGTGCTAATCACATTTACAGAATCTAACCTAGGGCCACAGACATACAGGGTTGGTGACTACCCTACCAAGCACCCTTTTTGCGGCGGATCTTCGGTTGTTGTCTTGTTCTTGCGGTCGGTAGTCGGCAGCATCCTTTCTGGTGCTGGAAGAAGAAGAAGAAGAAGATATTGAATTTACACTCCGCCCTTCACTACCCAAAGGTGTCTCAGAGCGGCTTACAGACTCCTTTCCCTTCCCCTTCCCACAACAGACACCGTGTGAGGTAGGTGGGGCTGAGAGAGCTCTGACAGAAACTGCTCTTTTTCAAGAACAGCTGTGCCAGAACTATGGCTTGCCCAAGGTCATCCAGCAGGTTCAAGTGGAGAAATGGGGAATCAAACCCCGTTCTTCCAGATTAGAGTTTAGCTCTTTAGCTAATTAGCAGATTAATCAGGTAAAATATATATATTTAACCAGCTGACATAATTTACCTTTAACCTGTTTACAGTTTACAGCAGTTATTATTTGTTCAGGAAAGATTATGCAAGACAAGAACATGGTCTGTACGTTCTGGTGTTGATGGTGTTCTCTCCACTCAGTGGTGATCCCCGTGCTGAAATTTGCATACAGAACCCCCTTGCTAGAGACTGGGATTCCTAAATTATTTGTGGGTGCCTTTCAACCAATTCAGAAGGCTGAAGTTGAGAGTGCTTTAATGTATCTAAGAGTGGCTTTAGAGACACAACTTTATTCATGAGAATTTGTACATCTACCTGCAAGGCCTACTGAATTATGTATTTTTTTTCCTTTAAGTGTGAGATTTCCTTTTATGTCTGTTTTATCGTAGAGTATTTTTTTTTAATTTCCCAGAAGCTAATGAACAGTGTTCTTTTCATTAAAATTGACAGGGTAATAAAATGTAACACTGAAGATCTTTCTGCTTTGTCACTAGTCATCTTATCTGCAATTTAAGGCCCCTATAATGTAACCTCCTAGAAGGCTGTGTCCCAGAAAACAGCTGCGAGGAGTCAAGGCAGTATGAAATAAATCTGTTGAAGCCCTTGGGTCAAAAACTTCCCATTGCATTATGAATGATAAATTCTATTTAATTCCGTGGTCTTCTTTAGAAGCAAGTACTGTCTATGAATAATACTCGGTAAGGTGTTGATAAAAGGATGACTTAAGGATGACCTTTGACCTGTTGTTATAGTTCCTCTGTCAGCTTAACTACTTCTTTCTGCACTGGATGTTTCATTTTTCAGTTCGTTGGTACAGTGACGGGAAAGTATTGAATGGCTGTATATGGGTCCGGTCACACGCAGAATTAGCCGCGCGACAGGGACAAATGCCAGGCAGATTTTACGGGCGCGATCACAGGGGAACATCTGGCAAACGTCCTGCACCCGTCACCAACCCGTTTCTTCCCGCCGAAGAAGTGTAGTTAAAAACTACCAGCGAAAATCCACTATCAAAGGGGTTTGCGACGGCCTGCAGTCGAAGGTTCCCATGTGATTGCTCCAGCGTGCTCCTATTTGCGTCTGTGCTCCCTCGTTGAAGCGTGCCGGAAACACGCGCCAATGAAAAAAACACCGGTTCACCGCCGTCGCGTCTGATTGCATAGTGGCAGGCCAATTGCGGTGGTGCAAATAGCCTCTCCTCCCCTCCGCGTTATCTGGCACATGTGACCGGGGCCTATAACTTTTATGCAGGAATGCTCAGTTTAGACTTCAGCGGGAAAAGGTGGTATTCTCAGCAAGAGCCTAACCTTAATTTATTTCTTGTTTCCTGTATGCACTGAAGCTTTTATACAAACATAATAGAAGCTGTTAGCAATCTTTGTTCACAAATGAACATCAAATTTAACAGAAGCAATTTACCAAGGATAAGTAACAGAAAAATAAGGACCATCTCCGGTGGTGAGGGACAGGTCAAGTTCATCTACTTTGGGATACAAAGCCTGACTCACGTACCTGGGGCCATTTTTATTCTCTTGCACACTACCAATCTTAGTAGTACTTAAGTAGTGGAGAACTTTCCCCTTGCATTTTGCAAGTATGTAAAAACTGGAGGTAAGATGACAAAAAAAAACCCTAGTTCTTCTTCAAATTTGGAAAGGGAAACATTCTGGTCAGTTTCAGGAAACCTCCCAGCTCACCTCTGGAATTTTTGTCAGTTTCCGGCATTTTCCCCCCAGACCACACTAGGGCTTTTCTGCATTCTTATTTTCCTGGCTTGTAAATTCCTGTTTCTACATTTCCCCCCCCCCTCCTGTTCCTCATGTGTATTGCTCCCTCTAGTGGTCAATTTTATGTTACACCAGTTTATGTCCTCCATCTCTCCCTGCAGATTTAACCTGCACGTTTGTATGCCAGACATAAACTGGTATAATATTGAATTGCTCACTACAGGGAGCAGAACATGCATGGAACAGACCTCCCCCCCCCCCCGGGAATAAACAGGAACTTACAATCAAGGAAAATGAGAATGGGGAAGAGCCCAAAGTTTGGCATAACAGGTTGCCTTCCAGTTATCTAGTATAAAGCTGATGCTCAGGAGGAACTCCGTATCAGAATCAGGAGTCCAGCTGCTCCCTATATAGCAGCATCCCTTTACAACACTTGTGCCATTTGTGCTGAAGTCACT